ACCTTTTGAAAATGTTTCATTTCAAAATTTTTCATTTCATTGCACCTAATATGTTTCACGACGCCAGGATGTTTTTTAATGTTCTATAAAATATAAAACAATACGATATAAAAGTAATATGAGTGTTTACACTGTAACACTATGAATGTTATGCTGGGTACACACTAAAAGATTTTTTAAATCTTATAAGATACACACTGAAGGTCAAAGAAACATTATTGAGCACTCTGATCTAAACACTGAGACTTGAACAGCCACACACCTTTGTGCCATCCCTGAAACAGATACTGTTCAACTGTTGAAACAAGTAAACCTTACCTGATATTTCCAATCTGTTTGCTGCTTCTTTCCATGGATTCAAGAAAAAAAACCAGCCCCAACATCAGTAGTCATGGAGCTTATTTTACCATATTTGTTTAGAATATCTGCTCAAAGTAGTTGAACCGCTTCTGATGTTGGTACAGCACTCTCAGAGAAAAACAGTTTGAAGTGAAGTCTTCAAGGCATCATATTATTACATTTGCCATCACTAATATTACCATATATTTACCATATACCATATATTACAATAATATTACCCACTCATAACTCCTAAAAAAACAAACAAACAAACAAACAAAAAACATGATTTTGTAGTCATAAACACAAGCATGCTTTGTATGTATTATATAATACAAAAACATTATACGTCTGAGAAAATAAATAATTATTGTTTAGCACATTATAAACATCCACATATTCACGAACAGAGTATTTCACAGTAAAGATCTAAACATTCTTAGACTCTAACATTCATAGTGTTACAGTCTAAAGACTCATATTACTTTTATATCGTATTATTTTATATTTAATGTTAAAAAACTGGCGTTGTGAGGCATTTAGATGCAATGAAATGAAACATATTTCAAAATGTTTCACTTAATTTCACAGAATTGATGCGCTATATGTAAACAATATTCTTTGTTGTTTTTTCCTGTCAAAATACTTCAGCTTTTAAGAACTGATGGGTTTTCCGGTAGTGGGCGGAACTAATGCGCAAACAACAATCTCATTGGCTGGCGCTCACCTATTATCGCCCCTGTTTTGACTTCAGCAAATCAGTTTGAGCGAATGCACACAACCTGATTAATATTCATGAATCCAGCAGCTCGTTAATCCTTACTGCGTTTTATATTGTTTTTATTGGTAGAATTCATAGTATTATTATCGAACTAGTATTAATTTTAGTTCCCCCCCCCCTTTTTTTTTACAGAAAAACAGAATGGCCAAAAAAGCACCACCACCAGTCCTAAGTTTAGTTAAAATGACTAATATGTATTCACATATGGTTACCAAGTTTTAATTCAAATTACTAAAGTTCTATCATTAAATGATACTTGATTATCATAATATCATATTATAATGCTTGACTGACTGATGTTAAGAGTGTACTTTCAGATATTTAAAAA